TTACACAGTTTCATATTGTGACCTCTGTGTGCATCGGAGTGAAAATAAGATGCAAATTATACTGTAACTCTAGAAGGCTTACTGTAATGAAGCAAAGGAGAGATGTCTTCTGATACTAAATATACCACACGCCTGTTTGTGGTTCATGCTGGCTTGTGAAATGAATCTCACGTTGACAATAATTTGATTCTTGAAGAACGTATTTTACAGGAAGAGTCCATTGCACATGAAGGGAATGAAACCGTTCTTACTTTAAGACCTGAAAACCCGTGTAACATGAAGATACCACATTCAGTGCTTCAATTATAAACGTCCCCCTCCTCACCCTCTTTATTCCTCTCCTTCCCCACTTTCATTATTTTTTCCCCACTATCAGTCTATCCATCTTTTCGCTTCGTTGGGTCTGCCATTCCATTAATCTCACCAACAGATTGCCTCTATTAATTAGTCTTCTTCTCCCATCTTGCATGTAATAATCAGAGGTAATGGAGATATTAGGACGATAAGGATATTTCATGCAGTCACATTCACTTTTAATTAGACGAATGATTAAAAAAAAAAAAGTCTCTTATGCCTGGCTGACATTTCGAAAGACAGCAAGGTTTTATTTTTCTGTCTCTGAACACAGAAGGACACAAATTCTGCAGAAAATATAATGTATCATTTTGAAAAAAAAAATTGTTTTATGATGTCTCAAAGGACGCTTCACATCATAAAGGTAATAATGTGTCCATGCCTCTAGACAGAAACAGGTTCCAGCTTGTCATCTGTGACATTTCAGAATGAATATTGTGCCTCACAGACCCGTATGACTTGTATGGTTGTGTATTTATAGGAAAATGTATCTGAAATGGCATTTAATTTCTATGAAAGGGCCCAGTTTTGGAAATTGAATTAGACAATGGAAGAAGTGTCGGTGCAGCATGTCTGCGGTTAATTGGAAGGTCCAGGGTGCACTAAACCGACAAGGAAAACAGACAGGGGTAATTACCTGCAGTGTGTGAGCGCCCACATGTGTGAGCGCGTGTGCATGTTAGTGTTGTGCAAATGTATCGGCTGAGGGTAATTGCGCTACACCAGACTCGAAATAAAGACCATCAATTCATGTCGCTTCTTGTCCCTGCTGACACTTGCAGAACATTTCGTCTGATCTCATCGCTAATGTTGTGATTCCCAATACACCCATGCAGGACTAAAGGTCAGAGTCTTTCAGAGTTACTGGAGCTGACCTCTGCAGCATCCATGGATCCAGCACTGTGAAGCACTTCGCCCCTTTAAGCACTCTGTACTGTCGCTTCCTTGGGGAATGGAGCTCATCCACTTTAATGGTTGATGTTCCTGGACCGTTCCCGACAGACCCGTTACTCACCCTAACCCTGTCTGAGCAGCGCCTACAGCACACACATAATGAAGAGGATAGAAAATTGAACACAAGACCTCAGGGCTCATCATTAAACCATTTTCTATTATCAGTCGTGAAGCGAGAGAAAACACTGCTGCCTGGTTGTTAAGAACCCACACTGGGATGCACAGGTCTCTATGGTTTTACTGGTTAGGCAATCCCAGCAAAGACAAGGTTTAAAGACATGCTTTCTCACCAGGGAATCTTGCTGGAGACCTTTTAAAAGATTATCTCAAATACTCTTATCCTGAAGTTTCTCTTTGCCCATCTGTTCACTTAACAGCTTTACTATTTCCTGCCAGTGTTGAGAAAGTGTATGTAAAGAATTGGAATACTGGTCTATTTCTTTCTTTACAAAGTTGCATCTAATAAATGAGATCTTCAAGTTTAGGTTGAAAAGGCATGTATGTGGGTTTTACTCGTTATTCCCCTGTTGTTAAGTGATGAGTGGAGCAAAAAATTCAAGCTTTAGTGTATTCTGTATCCAAACTCAGGATTGAGAAGAAGAGATGAAAGTTTCAAACTGAATGGTCGGAGCTTACTTTGGCTCATAGCTCCCAACGGCCTGTTGGAGTGTAAGAAAAAAAAATAGATTTAATCTGCAACTGTTTAATTTAAACCGGTGGAATTCATCACTTTTGCAACACTCCTGCCGTGCAAGATCCACAAACGCGTACACGTATCTTCAAATGTGTGTCTGACGATCTGCAAACACAATACAAACCCTCGTGCTTGCAGATTGTCAGACACACATTTGAAGATACGTGTATGCGTTTGTGGATCTTGCACGGCAGGAGTGTTGCAAAAGTCACCTGTAAAATGACAAAAATGACAGCCAATGGAGAGGCCCACCTCAGTTGTAAGCGATCATTTGTGTGTATTTTCAGGATTGACAGCTGAGTTCACTGCCATTAATAAATAAGTAAATATTTTGAAATTGGTCTACATATTTGCAGATTAGTATACGCATTTGTGGATCTGTGTACGCATATTCAAATAGTTTTGCCACAATAATAGCTCCATAGTTTTCACATTAGGCACGATTATTTCATACCGTGCTTGGGCATGATTGCGCCCCCCCCTCCCCTCTCCCCTGCTTAGTGGGCTCGAGCCCACTACCGAATGAACACAGTCCAATTCAGTAGGTGGTGGAATTGCAAACCAACTATTTGCAATGGCCCAAGAAGAAGAAGAAATAAAAAGCAACCATGGAAACCACTCGCGTCATCAACCTACTGGCCGATATTTGCTTACGTCTTGTGTGGACAATGGAGCAGCCGCTTTTTCTTCAGCTTATCAAGACACAGTTCAGTCCTTCTGTTGTTCCCATGCACATATAAATATACTGACGTAAAGTACAGTATACTGTAGTATCAAGTTGTCCCTGTATGTTTCATTCGGCCCAAATTTTGAGCAAGCATTTTACTTTGTCGTTACTCCCGTGAGAGCCTTCTGCAGCGATGTCTGAAACAGACAGGCAAATAGTTATGATGTCATGTAGCAGCCCACTTCCTTGATTGAGCATGGTTGTATTTCATCTCTAGCAGACCGTGCTCGAGACCACTTCATCAAGCGGACTCGTGGCACGGTGCCTAGTCCGGTACGCTCGTGTTCACATTTATCAAATGAACCAAATTTTGGGAACCCACAGCACCCACACCCACAACCCACAAGTCAAGTGTACTCGGATCTGGGCCGAGGTCCATAAAGTGAAACCACCTTAACATACACAATGTAATTAGGACTAAGGGCAGACCTCCAAGAATAAGAATGGAAAGATTGTAGTATTTTAAGGAAACATGAATGAGCTTTGTACTGAGAGCTCCAGATACCTTTACTTTCTTTCAGTTCCACCAAGCTGCACCAAGATCTTCTCGTTCCTCTTTCGCTTTCCCAAGTTCGTAGTTGTGCAAAACAGAACAGGACAGAACCTTTAGTCAAAGGCAAAAATAATTCAAACATGCTAGTATTGATGGCATGATGTGGGATGCCACAGATATGGCAAGGTTTTTTTTTTTTTACCCTTCCCCTATCGCTGTTGAATGGCACCATAATCAGTAGATATTGTGATTGTAAGTTGCCACAGCATAATGTAATCACATGAAAATCACACATGACCTCTGAGTTCTATATAAATCAGACCATACAATGAGTGTGATTACAGAGAGAAAAATAAAACACATTATCCTCCAACTGCTTCTCCACGTTTTCACCCCAAAGAAAATAAATCTCAGATAAAGATGTCTGAAGATATCTTGATAAAAAAAATATTCTCAGTCTTAATAAGATTTTTTTTTTATATATATCCCTGAACCCTATTGTGAAACTTTCTTACATTCTGCTCCACCTATGTTCAATTACAATGATTTAATTAGTTTTTTACAAACCTCCTCAGGTCAGTAAAATCTGAAACATACATATACAAACATATACATTCAGGAAACATACTGTATTAATTTTGTGATGAAACTACAAACAGGTATATATCAGGATCCCTTAAAATCATTGAGACTGACATACTGTATATGGTAAAATGTCAATGAGCACTTTTTTATAGCAGTAATGAAGTACCACGGTGCTTATTACACAGCAGCTAGCCAAATAAATCAATGCTTTGACTCAAAATATCAACTATCGATATTATTGATGTCTTAATACTTTCAGCTAAAGAAATGTGTTTTTTTAGATTCTACAGTTGGATCAGAGTCAACATGAATGATAAATTTTGCAGTTTTCTTAAATATAGTCAAATTATTGTATGTCTTCAAATTGAACATGCCATAGCACCAAATTAAGAGTTTCGCACCCGGTTACTGTCAGTCCAGTTCTCTGTCATTCAGCCATTGTGTCTTTTAACCTCTTTGTTTTCTTTTCCTTTTCTTTTAAATGTACCTGACTTATTTTTACGGATTGTTAGGACTGGATTTGGTCCTCCAGATCTTTGTTTGGAATCATTTTTGTAGCTACAGTCTTGAAGTCGTGCAGCAGTCTGTTAAAAAAAAAATATCACACTGCTGCATGAGTTTTAAGAACCAATTACAGTCAGGTATTCAACAAAGCCCTTTTATAAAAGCTTGTATGAATCAATGTTACACTTAGCTTCTTTGTATCGGTTGGTCTATTCTGCGGTCCTTTCATTACAATTGTGACAAGCTCTTGGATAATAAAATGGTTGTTTGTATGAAATGTATTTCCATTTTTGTTTTGAAACAACTTGTGCTTACGTTATGAATAAAACCATTAAAATTCAATGTTTTTGTTTCTATCTGCATTTTCAGCTCCTTTTGAAAAGGATTCCAAAAACAAATAAATATATACATATACTTAACAATTCTCTCCGAAGTAAAAATGCAGAAACTGGAGCCAGAGCCTCGGGCCATGTTTCAAGAGTGGAGCCAAAATCATCCATGAGAGAGTGTTCTGACAGAGAGGATCAACATATTTTGGGCTGAACTGTCACTCTGAATATGTCCTCTGAAACTGAAATGAATGAAACTGTTTCTAAATTGAGACCCATGCATGTATGGTTCACTGACATTTAACTACGTCCCGCATCTTAATCATATTCCGAATTCCCTGTGTTTGTGTCTTTGTGTAGTCTGAGATGAAGATGAAGTCTTCAGGCGTCGTGGATGGAGGCTTGTTCACAGAGAGCTATTGTAACATCTGCAATGCCCAGCTCATCTCCGAGTCCCAGCGCACCGCTCATTACGAGGTGAGTGTGTCTCTGCTCACACAGGAATTCTCGCTAAAAGAAATTGTTGCGATACTCGTCTGCTGCTCTCACAGGCAGTTTCCCGCACTGTGCACTTTGCATCAGCCTTATTTGTACCAATTTGTGCCTGTGCCGTTCAAAACAGCACTCATCCATTATACATGGACTTAATGCAGTATGGTAATACTACTCACACAGAAACACACACTCACTTTATTTTAATGTTGTCTACCTCTCAGCAGACTCACTAGGAGTAATTTAATGAATAGCCATTAAATAATCAGCTGCGTTCGTTATTTAACTAGAATCTTTCTGTGTGTGCATCTGAGAGCACAGGCACATATGCATGCCTGCTCGTGTGCTCGTGTTGCATTGAGGTCGTCCTTGATTACACGACACAATTGGGATTAACAACCACACTAATGAGGACAAGGTTCTTATCTGGAGAGAATTAACTTAGAACCACCACAGTGTGTATGTGTCTGCACACACATGTACCAACCACTTTCACATGAAAGTAATCTTTCTGTGTCTCTCAATTCAACTCTGACATCAAACACACAGCCTTGAGTATAAAAGAAAAGTGTGCCAGCTGCACGCCTTTTGTGTCACCCTTAACTAACAGTGTCTGTAGAGGTCAGTGGATCAAGGAGGCGAGACAAAGGAGTTTCTGTGTTTAAGATTCAATAGCTGTAGAAGCCACAATAAGGTAAGGAAAACTAAAGAGCAGCTTCACTCAGGCAGTACATTTCTTACTGGGTTGCAATAGATCACAAAACTCACAGCTCGGATTGTATCACAGATCTCATCATTTTAAAGACGGTCAAAAATGCAAAATTGCGAGACAAATACAGGTTTGTTTTGAGTGGCACCATGCTCACACCCAGTAACAGCTTCGTCCACCGCCGACCTCATACACCAAATGCATTTGACCTAATCAATCACATATGACGCTGCTCAGCCAATCAAATCTTTTACTGGGACCAGGCACTGTGAGTGATCACGGTGAGTGTGAGATGACAAAAACACACAGAGGAGTCAGCAGAGAGAAAACAAACACTGAAGCAGAGAAACTAAGTGAGTGTAGGAAAAGTAGAAATGGTGTGCTCTAAAGTTAGACTACAGGAATAAGAGAGATTTTTAATCAAGATTGTGCAAACTCTTAACTCCGACCCAAAATGTATTATCGGCATTTGAAAAAAGTTTTTGCACCAAAAGAGGGGAAAGAAATGATGATTCTAACATTTATTTTGTTGATGCAGTGCTGCATGTCAAGTTACTGACAAATTTCCCCCCTAACACAATACAATATTTATTTTGTTTTCCAGCCTTGAAATGCACAAGAGACTCTCGATTATTACTAAGCTAAAAACAGTGCTCGAAATTAGTCCGTGAATATTTATGGCCGCTGTTTGTCTTCGAGACCTCTCCAGTCTTTTCATAGATTGAGTAGGTATAGACTGTCAGTCCATAAACTCAGCAGATATGCGATACTCTAATTCAAACTCGACCTCGATAAATATTTCATTACTATTTTAAAGGTGTAGAAATAGCTTTGTTCATGCAATACAGCTGTTAGTTACAGCCTCTTACGGGCCTTATTGTGCCCTTGACACCTCAATTTTAAACTGTTTCTATTATAATCTGCACTGTGTTTTAACACAAAACTTCTATTATTTTTCTTTTTTCAAAATCTTAGGATTTCTTAGGGGTATAATTTGCTCTATTAATTGTCAGATTGGCTTTACAGTTGAATTTTGTTTTGTTTCTCCACATAGACATTAAAGTGCAAACCCCAAATACAAAAAAAACCAATGTTTTAAAGAGGATTTGCTACAACCTACTCCATTAAAGATTAGGAGAAAAGTATTAACAGCCATTTGATTAAACGCAAGCTTTTTGATTGAAAATTGTAATCTTTACAGGTCTCTAACATCTGAGTGAGATCACTTCTTTCTCCAGCCCAGAAGGTAGCAGTAATGCACCTGATGCTTTTTGGATATTCCCCAATCTGTCCATAGCACCATCCATCTGCTAACACACACAGATAGGACTCGTAAAAATGGAATAGTTGGGAGAAAGTCTATTCCTCAAAGTCTATTTTCTGCTGCACAGATTAAGGAGCAGGGATCAAACTTTTCAGGGATCAGTGAAACGCCACAACTTTTCACTTGCAACTTAAGCTCCACAGAGTCAACGTACATGATTCTTGCACAACACTGTCTGATTTGACACTCAGAAAGAAGAGACACAGAGACATGAATAGTCCATTAGAGAAGGGTGAGCACTGAGGGTCAACCATGGTGACACCAGGCCCTGCTTTTAGACCATATCCCGGAGCCATCAGCTGCATGGCCATTTATACACCTATGAACACAGGCATGCTCTCAGCCACAAACACACATTCACTGACACAAAGCATTTAAGATGTCAACAAGTGAGCGGGCATGTGAGGGCGGGTGGGGTGGGGGTCTTGTCCCAGGGGGGAGAGGATCCAATCTAAGTACTGGAGCAGCAAGTACATTGTCTTGTCAGTTTCACTTTCCGTTCAGCCTTGACTCTAACTTAAAGGAACATTTTTATCTACAGAACTTAGATCCTGGTGGTGTAAAGATAAACAGATCTTAATGTTACAAAATCTACATCTTGATCTAACTACCTGTCAAAGTCGACACATGGGTGTGTGATAAAGACTTAACATAATATACATCATTAGTCATTCCATGATGTATGTTATGTATATATTCTCAGTTCCCTAAAGTACACATTTTGTTTTTAGATCGGACTGGATTAGATCGTATTGAATCATCGTTGTGTATTTTAATGAATCGTCACTAAATCAGATCGTAGCTCGAGAGAATCAAAATGATTCCACCGTCTTGTGAAGAAGAGATTTACATCCCTGAATCAAAATGATTCCACCGTTGTGAAGAAGAGATTTACATCGCTGATCAATCTGACTATCTTTCGGATTAAGCTGTTACATGATTCAACAAGAGGAAATCCTGTATCTAATTCTTATTCTTGCAAATGCACAAATTGAAAATAAAGTTATCCCAGTAATTCAATTCAGACCTACATATTCACTGTGCGTGCTCGTATATAGCCGCATACAGAAATACATCAGTGCTGAAACACACGATTACTAGTACTGTACAGCAGGTTGTATGTAAATAAAGCTATTTCACTTTTCATCCATGTGATGGTGCGAGAAGTTAAAGTTGATTATCATCCTAAATGAAAGCACAAAGGCTCAAAGTGGTGCATAACTGTTCACCAAAAGCATGGAAATAGTGTTTGATGATGAGATTTTCTGGGGGTGGACTCCCAGACCCCAGCTTAATGTGTTCCCCTAGTTGGCAGTAATGCAGCCCACCTGATGGTGCCAATGATTTATTACTGTTTACCAACAGGTTATTGCATTAGATAAAGAAGTAGCTTCTTGGAGGCTGAACTTGTTGCAGGGTGCCCTGTCCCTTGCCTGAATAAAAATACCTCTGACTCTCTCATCCAAAAGTAAACTTTTACCCCCGTTGATGCTTCTCACAACCGCAGTCTTGTGTCCCTGCAGTCTGACAGACAATGCTGTGTGTTTGGCTGCACATGTGGCAGTTAAGATACAGATCACGCTTTGACACATGCCTCTGGAAAATGCACCTACGGTGGCATTTCTAGATAATAATAGAAGTTATATAGAAAGGAGTGAAGGTCAGAGCACACCAATAAAACACTATGTATATGGAGGAAGATAGCTGTGTCAACAAACATGCATAGCTGTTCAAAACACCACGCACGCACGCACGCACGCACGCACGCTCGCTCGCTCTAATCTTTACCCTGCAGTGTGCCCAGTGATTTTCATTGTTCTGCATTAAAGTGACAGTTAGCAGCTTAAGAAGGACAACTCAATGCCCTTTCATATAAACACTTCTGGTTTTATTATAGATATAGTCTTTACCGTGTAAAGCCCTGTGAAAGAGGCAGATAACAATTCAGTAAGCATCACAAATTCCCGTTATCATAAAGGCCCTGACACACCAGGCAGACTGCAAAGAACTAGTGGCGACGGTAGGCGACGTCGCCTTTTGTCTTGGCCAAAAAGTTGCACTAGAACACACCGCAAAGACTACAGCCGACCACCACATACGTTCTGCACATGCATGACAGGAAATAACTCTCCATGCCAGCAGACAGTGGTAGTCCGTTGTTATGATACGAGAAGACCATTTTCACACCACTGTTGTGCACCACTTGTATTAAAGGTAGCCTACTAATCGAGAATAATGTCTGATAAAAAGTTGAAAATGGCACTGGTGTTGTCAGCCCTTGGTCTTTTAGTGGAAAAAGACAAGAAGAGGCATAGGCGACAAATATGGAGAAACCGCTCTAATGGACGATCTCCTTGTTGTGTCAGGACCTTACAGTTGTGTAGTGAACAACCTTTACCCAAATGCTTTAAGTAGGTAGACTACTTTCAATTCCATTAGCTCAGTTTTTTGAGCTGCTTATATTGTGTAAAACCCAATAAAAGAAATGTACAGACTTTTCTTTGAAACCAAAAAGATACTCTTACAAGTTGTTATTTTTTTTAACCAGGATATTGTCATTCCAAAGAAACTGTAATCTTAATCTTCAAAATAATTAACTCACTGACTGTTGCAGAGCTTGCACATGAATTACTGCTACTTTGTCCCTGCACAACCTCCCAAACCACATGTTACTCTTGGCTCTTAGAAAGCACAGACCGGCCCAGGCCATTAGTCACCCAGCCGGGGGGCAAAATGTCTGCTGGCATCATCAGCTGAAACCAAGATAAAAGCTGGGAGTGAGTCTCAAGGTGACAGGTGACTGTCATAGGTTCATGAATCAAATGATGAATAAAATCCGGTTCAAAGGCTGACACTTTGTCTCTCTCTCTCTGTGTCTGTCTCTCTTTCTTTCAGAGTAAGAAACATGCCAACAAGGTACGTCTGTTCTACATGCTTCACCCTGAAGATGGAGGACCTCCTTCCAAGCGACTGAGGCCAGATAATCCAGTATGACTTTACCGAGTGTGTGTTTCTGTGTCTGTGCTGCATTTCAAACATTGATTACAAGCTTTTCTCACCTCAAATAACTTTGAATTGATGCACTGATGAACTGAGCAAACTGAACTGAATTAACTGTTGGAAATAACTGTGGGAGAGGATTCATTTGCATGCTGAAATGTTCATATTTGCAGCATGCGTTCAATGTGTGTAGAAAACAAAAAAACCTCAGTCTCATCCTATACTAAGCTTGTCCACTCTCAGGCTTGGCCACTGCAGCCAAATGCTCATGGGAATATTTGTTTGATCTGTTGTGTACAGTTGTAGTGCTATAATTCTCCCCGGAGAGGTCATGCCTTAGCTTGTGGTCTTTCTGGTGAGATTTAGTGCAGGCAGAAGCCGCCAGGCAGCTCTATATCTGTCTAATGCAGGACATGGCAAGGGAGGTCAGTGCTTTACGGATGTTTGTGTGTCTGGATGTGTTTGTGTGAGCTGAAGGTGGGCCATTGTGTCTGTAGATTTCTCCGGTCCTGTTCTGCAATTGTAGTAAATGCTGAGGCTGCATTTGCATTCACAGCGAACTGTTGGGCTTCCAATATGAACCACAACTGCATATTTGCAGTTGATTAAATTCTGACTTTGTGTTTGTTTGTCTTGTGTTTGTTTGCTTGTGTGTGTGTGTGTGTGTGTGTGTGTGTGTGTGAGTGATAATACATGTGAATGTAATAGACTATTGTGAAGAGGGAGATTTATCATTGAACACTGTTTGCCCCATTTCTCTGGCAAGCCTACAAATGCCAGATGGCATAATTCAAATCGACACACAAAATACATACAGGACACAGTAGGTTTGTGAGGGGGGTTATCAAACTAAGTGACAAATAGTGCTGTGCCAGAGAAAAGAGAGAGAGAGAGAGAGAGAGCAAGAAAGAGAGAGACAGAGAGCGACAGAGAAAGCAGATGAGGAGATGTATTGTCTCCAAAACAAAAAGTGCAGTGCCACAGCCAAAACCCTGGGCTGTATTGCATGGCCATTAGGCTTAGTACAGCACTGACCCGATGTCCTTCGCTGACAAGAAATTCACAATAATTACAACTAAGCAGCCGTAATGTTTGCAAGAATCCCCAGTTTAAGTCATTTCAGGTTGTTCTTTACGGATAAGCAATGCAGAGTTCAAATCCCTGTCAAACAACGTTTTACTGTAGGCAGACATCTTCAAAGGAAACAGATTAAAGTTATTTTAGTTTCAATCAAAAACAAAATTCCAACTAGGCAAGAGCCTAAAGACAGAGCAGGATTAACAGCTCGAATTTCAGGGCATCCATGTGAGGAAGGAGTTTTTCTCTTTTGGCCACATATTTACGGTCCAAAAAAACGAGCACGCAGCAGAGCCGTGTTAACGCCACGCATGATGAAAGATTGATGTGCTTTGTTGGTTTGTGATACCAGCTGTCTGTCTTTTTATGTTTTAGGAAGCAGAAGGTCCTTGAGTCTGCTGATGTGATCGTCCCCACACAGTTCACAGTCACATGTTTTGTGCCTCAAGGCTCAGTGCTCGCAACATTTCCCTTTTCCATGTGTATCCAAAGTGTGTATGTGTCTCTCTGCATGATTATTTTATGAGCCAAAACTTTGAAAACCAGTCCAGGAGAGAACGTCAGTCCCTCTTTTATCCAGAGCAACAAACAAGGGCCAGGTTATGCTGGAAAACAACGAGCTTCAGAAAGCAAAAGTGTAAACGCCAAAATGACATGATGTTGTCTTTTAAATGTCGGTATTATTGCAAACTTTAAGGGCCTGTGTCCGGGAACACCGACAACCTTCAGAGCCCTGGTGCTTTATGTTGCCAGGTTATAGAAGTCGGTTGCAGCAATTCCACTTCCCTCGGTATACTGTTAGGTTTTTTATTATATGGCTCTGTTTGCTAAGTGTATGTTTTTGTTCATTAAATATCACCAAGAAAATATGAAACGATATAAAGGAGCCTGTCCTGGCCTAATACTCAGACCTGGAAACTGTACCAACAGAAAGACGAGTAAGAGTAAGAAGTCCTGCACCTTCTTTATTTGGATTGGTCGATAAGAGAAATGTGACTTTGAGAAGGGGGGGGGGGGCAGTGCGCTACAAGTTGAACTATTTCAACTGAGAGCGCTGTGGGGTGTTTAAGTGCTGAACTGGATATTGGGTGCTGCCACTTTTGTTAGTGAATCTGTTAGTGGACACAGGCCCTTACACAGTTTCTCCTGGAGAGTGAAGTAATGGTGCCGTTACTGGCAAACTCAGATACGGAGGTCAGATTTTCCTTATATCAAGCTCCTGTGAGCTCCTGTGTGGACAAAGCAGTATGTCAATTCTTTTGTTGATCTTCACATGCACATGGGAATATCGTTTTCAGATGAAAAACTCATCAACCTTCATGATTTACTTTATAGAAATAGTCAATCACAATCATATCACTGATGATTTCATATATAATAAAACGTAATAAAAACTAATACTGATGCCTTTTTAAAACCAGTAAAAAAACTCCTTACAGGAAACTTAAAGAAAATAAATAATCAATGTTGAACTACCCCCTCCTATCCTTAGACAGTTGTTTGGGAAGGTCTTTCTCAAGTTCTTCTCCATTCTCAAAGAAAATTCAATTTTCATGACAAATGCTGTCGCAAAGCTATTTCACATTTAAACTTTTGATAAATTGTGAATCCATTTAAGGAGTAAAACAGCTCGATTCTTCACAAAAGCTATACAATAGGCTGTAAAAAAGGTGCTACACAGACAACCCTGTGTATTAAATATTGTAGACATTTCAAGAGCATGTGGGTTTGCCAACACACACACACACATATTTAAAAAAAAAAAAAATACACACCTGCGTCTCCATCTGTCTCCCTAAGTGAATAAGACATGACTCAGCCCCTCCTGGCTTTCACCTCATATGGGACGCTGAATACACAGAAAAAGACCATGTGCTCATACACACACATACTGTACTGTACTGTGAGCGCCCCAGCTAGCACTTTGTTCACAACCTTTCACACAGCGATGTGACACTGATTATCTGACAATGCTGGAAAAATGATTTCAGAAGAAGCGTTCTACAGAGACGAAAATTCTCGACATTCAATTTCGGATGAACTTTTCTTCTTTCATATCTTTCATCTGGTTCTTTTTTTTCCTCGCAAGGGGACATTTTGCGCATTTTTATCTGCACTTCATCTCAGTGTTTTTTCCCCGTTGTTCCTGCACTGATTGACATGGTGCAGTCCAACGGGAACAGCAGAAAAGAATTGCAATGCTGTGATGTGTGTGTGTGTTTGTGTTTTTGTGTGGAAGTGTTTGTTACAGAGCAAACACAGGAGAAAGTAGGTCGTAAAGGTGCTCCCAGATGAAAGGGGAGGGGGACTTTATCCGTTTTTCTCCCCTATCCTCCACCCTGCTCTCTCTCTCTCCCCTCGCTCTCTCTCTGAGCAGTTTTCTACTTGTGAAAAGGGCAAGAGATAAAGTGCTATTTTTCCTTGCCTTTTATTCTCCTTTAATGCTATATTTGCACCATCGCTCATTTCAATATACACTTACAGCGCTTCTTCAAACTCCAAATGAGATTGTCTGTTTCCCTGTGCTTCTCCGTGTGTATATTTAGCAATGTTTCCCACAGCCCCTCGACACCAAGCAGGAGGCAGAAGAAAGGAGGAGCAGAGAGAAAGCGAAACAGAAGGAGAGGAAGATTAACACAGCTAATTAGGAGTCTATTGTTAGGTGCATGAGCAGGGATGAAGCCACCCAAACACAAAATATTGTGCGATACAGACGTCACTGTCAGCCGATGAATAAACAGGCAAACATGCACGCACAAAAACAGAAGCATTCCCAGCAATTAGGTCGCATGCAAATCATTCTCAACAGATGTGTGAGCTGCGACAGGTAGAGACGAAACACAGAGAGGATATTGAAATGAGCCACGTTAGAAGTCTGGAAATCAAAAATGAAGAAACAGAAAGGTTGATGACTTTCAGCGGAGGTAGACGCAAAGGAAAAACAGCGAGTCAGAGACGCTGTTTATTGTTTAAAGTGGTTCAGCAGAGTGGCAGCTGTAATGAGATGACAATTATTCATGTGTCAGTCACCCACACACACTTCTGATTGTTGAAAACTTCCCATGCACTGTCACTAAAATCCCTGGTGTAACATCAGTCACTGAGCGACAGGCTATGCATTGCCTCATCTTTGGGTTTCAGTCCCGTCTCTGTCGACTGCTTCTCTACCTTTGGTGTGTTTTGACACGTGAGGCCACTGCAGGCTGCGACAGAGCATCATCCCCGATCTCTTTGTCCTGAGTCAAATCCATACAGTTTAAGGACTGCAGCTCACTGTGGTTGATATTCCTCTTCCTGGTGATACAAGATTTTGGTCGAACGAGACCTCGGTAGTGCTGCCCATGATTGGGGAGAAGTAGACAAAGAAGGCAAGTGGGGGAAGTGGAGGAAGAGGACAATCGGATGAATAGTGAGGAACAGGAAGAAGAGAAAGTAGGCATTAGGGAGGAGGGGGATAAGAACATGGAGAGATGGTAATGAGCGAGCAGAGGGACTATAAGCAGGTGAAGAGGAAATGAGACTATTCTTCATCTGCACTACATCTACCATGATGCAATCAGGAATAAAGTATTAAGAAACATGGTACACTTTACAGGCAACATACCCACACTTGCATAAACAGTGTGACTTCTATAACTCTATGACTTCCATGACTCAGACATTGCCCAAAATATGGTATTGGTATCGATTAACGCATGCACCAATCCAATACTGGTATTCATCAACCTCTAAGAAAATCGATGTTTGCACCAAAATACATGATATGTTGCCACTCCAGAAGACAGACAGAAGCTGACACAGCTGACTGCACTTTACTGCCACAACAACAGCAACATGGAAGAACTGAAAAGTCAATGTACTTTGTGTAACATGAATAGGAAACATCAGGACACCAAAACTGACAACAGGAGATGTGCTTTTTGTGGGTTCAATACTATTTGGCACAAATTGCAAATAGAGTTGAATTGGTTTGAAATTATTCTGACACTCACAGTGGAATTTATTCTTTTTGCCAGAAAGCCACCCGTCCTGAATCCTCAAATTGTTTTCAAACTGCATCCCTGCTGTGAGTAGACAATCTCCTCAGCCACCTCGGATCACACTTTTCTAACTGGAATTTCTCTGAGGTTTAGGCTTACACTCTTCCCCTCAGCGCTGAGTCCAGTGCCGTCTCAAGTCAAGGGAATCCTGACCAGAGACCGGACTTCTGTAACATCAATAAGAAATATCTGGGCACGATATTGAACAAACAACAACGGTGCAGTGCTTGTTGAGATTTTATCAATAAGTAAGGCAGTGTCAAGTTAAAAAAAAAATAGTGTTTCTCCAATTCTTTGGCAGACACAGCACGTCTTACATGACCTGAGCTTGTTTGAAGGTGCTCTGCTTGTTTTAGGCTAGCATACCTCCATCCTTCATTGCACCCAGGAGTTTTTAACACTAGCCAGAAGCCTCCAATACACACCGATTGGTTATTCAATACCAGGAACAACATTTATGAAAGCAGTTTCTCTCAAACACCTTTAAGCAGACACGAGTGAGTGAGGTGAGACAAATCGTCTTCATATCAACTTGCTCTTTATTCCTAGATTTATTGATTTAGTTTTGATTCTTGTCCATCAAACCACCAAAAAGGAACTTCTCTGTGAGCCAGAAATTATAAAAAAAGGGGGGCATTCGTATCACATTTAAATAGGGATGCTGTCACATCTGTACTAGCTATCAGCCTATTGACACGTTCAGGTTTTGGAATCATTATCAGAAAGGATAAAACTGACATCAAACAATCTCTAGAGAAATGCTTTACGCAGTACTGAAGCAAAGAGAAATGATGTCATACCAGCTGAGAAGGAAACTGAGTTACTGGTGGAGCTGGAGGGGGGGACTATGGGACAGTTCAGAGAAAGCCTTTAACATGATCACAGCATGGACAGACACAGGGGAGGAGAGGAGGCGAGGCGGTGAGGGAGGGAGGAGGTGAGGGGGTGGCGAGGGCCTGCCAATACAGATAAATATTTCATCCCACTACACACAGAGTCACTGAGACTGATGCCCAGAGGGGGAGGGAGGACGCAAGGATGGAGAAGGAGAGAGGAAAAAGGGCTTTGAGTGAAAGCAAAAAGACAAAAACAAATGAGAAAAAGAGAGTGAGGGAGAAAAAAGGAGAGAAGAAGAAAAGAGAAAGAGGGAGAGACTGGGCAGCCGGGAGACAAAGCTACGCCTGGAAGGTAAAGGTGTCCTTAACTCTCACATCCTCTGTCCGTGATGCTAACCAGGGTTGACACGAGACACACACATTTACACACACACATGCACCCACAGATGCGCATGGCACATCCACACACACTCAGATATTGTGTCGCAGACGTTTTTCTATTATTGTCTCCTCTCTCGCCCAGACTGAGGTTTTGCTCCTCCAACAAGACTTGACACCTGGACTAAAGAGAGCGCTGGTGTGAAAAGAGGGACAAACTGCAAGAAAGAAAAGAAAAGAGATGTGCAACAAATAGAAACAGAGTTCAGAGGTGGATAGAAAAAATACCTTGATGAGGTTCATTATAAGCAGCAAGAAGAAAAGAGAAACTGGGAAAATAGCAGGAAAAGTGTCAAATTCACAAGGTTGCACTGAAAGCGTGAAGTATCGTAACTCTTAAAAGACGTTAGAGTTTTTAATTTTATACTGTCCAAGTTTTAATTCATATATAAAGGTATGTGGGCAGCTGAATATCACACCCAATTGGATTGTTGGAAGAAAGATATAGCTCCATAACTGCTAACATGTTCCTATGACAACCTCTAATTTGCTCTCGTTCAGCCACAAGAGTAAAAGTGAGCTCAGGGACCAATGTGAGGGTAAAAGGCCTGGATCAGTTTCGGTTCTTATTCCTCATTAAGGTGTTGGATAGCGTTTAGGTCATGTGCTTTTGCAAGCCTCTATTCATAACTGGATTTGGGTATAGAGGTTTCTGTTTTTAATACACGTAGTATTGTCCACTGGCGTTTCAGCAGGAATTGGCTTTATACAGGGGAACAATCAGTGTGGAGATCCAAAAGTGGAAGAATGCATTCTGCTGTAAGGCAATACTGGAAACCATCCGTACTCAGCAGACAATTAGCTTTTATTACCGTCTTTAACATATCTTCTACATGTGCAGCTTGCATCTTTTTTTTTTAACACCAACTCCATTCTCACTTCTCAAGTCTGTTAAAAAGACTGCAAAAAAAGACTGTATAAAGGCAATGCATGGAAAACAATGTCTTGTCCAGACTGCTCACAGAGGTTTAAATCGTTATCAGGTGATTACTGTTGGGTCCAAAGATTGTCTTTCACCAAACTCAGAACAGCTCATGCTCTAAGCAGGGGCAAAAGCACCGCAAAATACAGTCAAATGTGTCAAATGCTGATGCTTTGTCAGCCACATGCAGACACATTTACTATTTGCCTTTATTTGGAAGGACAGCTGAAGATAGACAGCTGAGAGTGGGGGATGACACGCACAAAATAGAACCAGGACCGGGTGTCGAACCTGTGACCAGTGTGACGAGGACTCTAGCCTCTTTAACATGGACTGCTGCTCTATCAACTGAGCTACACCAGTAAACTCCCTTCAGCATGAAGTAAACCAATCCAGGGCAACAGCAGACATTCAGAGAAAATTCTCAAAAGTGACAAATAACGAGAATAAGAAAGTCAATGCCAAACATAACCTACACTGAGGAGTCCGTGTGAAACCAAGTCTACTTTGGGGTAGTTTTTACAGACTAAGACATTGCACCCCAACCATGTAGCTTATTTTTTTTTTACCTACACTTATCATGTTACACAAGGAGAACAATGACCCAGCTTATTAGCATAATAAAAGTCAAACAAATGAGAAATACCAGACCATCAAAGAGTGTCTCTTTCTGTATTTAGATCTTTGTCCTCTTATCTGGTTTTGTTTGGTCATAAGGTTATTTATTTTGTCTTGGTTTTAAAACATGTTGCTCCTGTTGAGGGAGAGGTTAAAAAGTCCAAAATTGTTATTAATTACTGTATAAACTATTTCTTAAAAGTCTAATATTATAGTGTAGGTGTGTTTACTAAACTAATCAGCCTTGTGTGTTATCCTGTGTTTGGATCTGCGAGTGTGTGTGTGTGTGCGCGTGTGTGTGTGTGTTTGTATATTTGTGTCCATCAGGCGGTTGGTCTTCTGTGTTTGTGTTCCCTCTGCACCCCTCATCATTAGTAATGAACCAGCAGCGGTGAAAGGGCCAGGCCACAGCCTCAGCCCAGAGAGACAGATGAATATTTGATCAGCCCTCTCTTTGCTTTTGTGTGCGTGTGTGTGTGTGTGTGTGTGTGTGTATGTGTGTGTGTGTGTGTGTTGGAGAGAAAAAGACAAAGCTCAGGGGTCAGTGCAAAGTGTACATCTTTCTTTTTTTCATCTCCCACTGCTTCTTTTCTCTCCTTTTCTCACCTTCGCCTCTCACTGTCCCTCTTTTCACACCGTTCCTGTCTTCACCTCCACTAATTTCTTTTTCCTTCTCACCTCCCTCACCCTCTCCCCCTTCTATCATAATACTTCTTATCTCTCCATCCATCACTCCCCCCTCTTTTTTTTTTTAACAATCCCCCTCTCCTCTTCTTCTCCTGCAGGACTGTGCGGAGACAGAGGTGGACAGAAACAAGTGCTGTACCTTGTGTAACATGTTTTTCACCTCAGCCATCGTGGCCCAGTCACACTACCAGGGCAAAACCCACGCCAAGAGAGTCCGCCTGGTGCTGGGGGAGCCGCCAAACCTGCCCTCAGCCATGACCAGCCCTGCAAACACAGGTACAGTATATCTCACATCCACTATCCGTGTCTCTAACTGGGTTTGATTTTAGCAACAAGATCAAACACACATCAAATATACATGCTGCTGGATTCATGATCGAGTAAGGGAAAATATAGAGGAAAATGCTTTATAGCAGAAAGAAAGCTGGGTAGAGATGCAGGGTTAGATGAAAAGCAGAAGTGTCATGTCTCACCCTGAAGGAGAAGTGGACTCAATGACTCCAGATTGGGGCTTTTTTGCTGCCTGACAATAAAAGTCTGTTGATATTTTTTTCCCATTGACCAGTCTTTAAACACAGCCACAGAAAACTTACTGTGTTTAAAGCTCTCTTAGTTTTTCTCACATTTTCTTCTCTTTTTTTTGTGAAGTTAAAAGGCCGATGTTAAATATACTTCAATTCTTTTCCATGCAAGGATCTTATTCAAGTTATCAGACAAATCAAAAATCAGAATTGAGTATCTAACTAATAAATTAGATAATGAATAAACTGGAGTATTGAACAGTTACTGTTTGTTGTACTGTATCAATCATAAACCGCCTTATAAATGTTTTAAATGAGCGGTTTACATACGAAGATTTAGGTTTCACTTAAAAAGGTCAATGTTAACCTCTTCGCTCCCATTGCTCTTAAAGCAGTGCTTTGAAAGGTTACAAGGACTGTGGCAAATAATGCATAAAAAATGCAGAGCCCACCGTTCTGATTACATAAAGTTAACTTGTGTACTTACTGAATATTTAATGCATGTGCATAAAGACGTTAGGTTAAACATAACAATATCTGCAGCATTGGAAAATGTACTTTAAAACCATACTTGAGTAAAAGTGAAGATACTTCACTTGAAACTAATTATTACTGAAGTCAAAGTCTTAAAGTAGCTAATTATACTTAATGTCCTTAAGTATCAAAAGTATCTGGTGTTAAAATGTAATTAAGTATAGTAACTAAAGTAGAAGTAAAAAGACACAAGACAGCCAGATATTTTTGGTCATTTGAGGTTTGGGGTGCGACAGCATCACAGTCTGCTGCCTCGCTGGCGGCTGTGAGAGAGATGAGACGGTGTCATGTTCTGAAGACATGGCTGGAGATGCCGTGACTCGTTTTGATGAGAGAGTTTTCTGAAACAGCTGCCTTCTGCTGTTACTCGTGCTTTGTCAGCATAGTGAGGTTTGATATTAACATTTTCAACACTCGCGAGCATATTGAAACATAAGAGACGTGCTAGTCGGCCCATTGTTGATGAAAATGTCTTTGTGTCTTTTTTTCAAACACCATCTCTACTTTTTTCTCACTCACTTAGTTTCTCATTTCGTTTCTGAGACTCCCCCTCTACTGACTCCTCCGGGGGTTTCTGGTCACTTACAGTGCCTGGTCTGAGTTAAGCATTGGATTGGCTGAGTAGTATCACCTGTGACAATCGCTGCCGTGACGTCAAGAAAAGCAGCGCTGTTTAAAATAGACTACAGTTATAAAAGCATTAAAAGCTGCACTGTTTAAAATAGACTACAGTTATAAAAGCATTAAAAGCTGCACTGCTTAAAATAGACTACAGTTATAAAAGCATTAAAAGCTGCACTGTTTAAAACTGTTTACCAATTTTAACATATTTTGCAATACATTGAATTTCAACTATCCAAACCCTCAGATTTTTGACATTACTCCGCTTTACCATATCTTCTAGTATGTAACCTGCAACCATTTGCAGTGATCACAGCAGGTATGTAACAGCTGATGACATCAAGGGAGCGCCAGTTGGATTTTGGAAACAAAGAGAATAACTTATGAAACAGATTATTTGAGCAAGTTGGTCTTTGTATGTCGGTCTGCCTCCAGGTCAGTCTTGAAAGTGAAAGCTTGAAGCATCCAATATTTCATTTTTCTGATAATAAACTGGTACTTTAGTGGTCGACTCCTGAGCACTGGCTGATCGATACCTCTATTGGATTCCAATTATGATGTTTGCACACACAGCCTGTACTCAATGATGACCAAGGTAATTAACAATGTTGTAAAAGTCACTCTCACCTCTGCTGGCATAAATCCGAGTAATCCAGACATCCACATTTTGAACCATGTATCTCTGCAATGAGAATATTTTTAGTTCAAAGCACATATTCTATCTGGAGTGGATTTGGAAAGCTTTAGTCATGCTTCTGTCAAAATGTCTAGCCTGAATATCAGAGAGGAAAAAACGTCTAGAAATACTAACATGCCTGAGGCCGCAGAAGCAAATCTTTGAAGGTGAAGCGAAGCGATAGCCATATATTCATAAAGGCATCTTGATTAATAAAAAGTCACCTTAACAAATCAAGACATCCAAAAAAAAGATTTTACTTATTCTCATGATTGTTTAAAACGAGTGGGTTTTTTTTTTTCTGTCAGCGCTGGTGCGACGACCCCAGGGGAGCTTTACATAATGTGATTCAAATTGGATTCAAAGTGAAAAATCAAAGAGCCATAAACACGCAATCTTGACAAAATGGGAGTGTTATAATCAAGCCCTTGAGTGACTTTTGCTAAACTTTGGCCTACTTTTTAGAAAAGCGTCACTACGGAACAGCGGTTTAGGTGATGTTCCGGCGTTTTTTTTGTGTGACAGAGGGACCTGGAGGAAACGGAACAAGAGGATGAGAGTAGGGAAAAGAGAGAAAGAGTGACCTGGGAGAGAAGAAAAGATTTCAGGAGCGATTAAAGTCAAAAGTAGCCTTCACGAGCACTCGGAGATGAGAGCTCCACGGAAGACGCACAGCAAATCTGACAGGCTTGTGTGCACATGGGCACGGAAACACACAAAAGCAGCATGACTGATGCCCGCGCGTTTGCACACTTGCTTCTAAGGACACATGGACACAACCGCAGACGCAAATACACACACATGACACGCATACGCAGAGTGAGGAGGCAGAAAGCAAAGGCCATATACGTTTGTGAAAATCCCTGAGAGACTGAGAGCAGAGATTGTACCTGTGTTCCCTCCTCCTTTCGCGCGCACACACACAAACACGCATACTAGCTGTGCCCCCCGCTCCGTGAAAAACACTTACTTCTGCTCCAGTGTGCATAGATCACAGTCATGGGAAAAGAAAGGGTGGGAAATCAAGGGATGGAGGAGGAAGAATACATTGGAGGATCTCTCCCTGTTGCTGCTCGGCACGTGATGCTCCACAGAGCTGCCAGAGCTCACAAGCTTCACTCATGCAAGGACACACACATGCACACGCACACGCACACGCACACACAAACACACGAACACTCACACGTACAACACCAGAGATTTTAGCACGGCCTTGTCTTCCGGATTTAAATCAGAAATATGAAATGGCATTAGGAGAGTTACAGGGTTACATTTTTGTAAGTGAGATGATGGTGAGGCGTAGACAAACACCAGTAGAGGGGAAGATGAGTGGGTGTGGTTGGTGAGATGAGCCGAGACACAGCCATAGATACAGTAACTATGTGAACAGAGCCCAAAGACACATCAAGGTATGAGCAGCCAATCACATCGCAGGGATAGGAGTCAACAGAGGCAAACAAAATAGGACTATAAATTAACACACTTCACACTTGTGGTCAGTGCTCAACAATGCATGTGTGTGCTTCATGTGGTTTTAGGGAGCTGATGGTTGTGGAAGAGGTGATTCATTCGGGGCTTAAAGCATGTGTGAGTGGGCTTTTGTTTGGTGATATAAAATGTTTCAACGTGTAGTATTGTGGCGGTGTAGTCAAAGTGGGTATAACTGTAGAGTCTTTGACACATGTAGATAGAAAATCGTCACATTTGGACACGCCATCTGGCATTCTCACACAGTTTTGCTATGGACCCAACACCCCCTGTGTTCAAATTCACAGTTTGAATAGAAATATCTTCTCTGCGTACATACTTAACCCTTCATCCTTCACACGCACATATAGAAGCTACCTTTTTCTGGAGCTTCATCCATGAACACACACATGTAAAGCCTTCACACATTTTCTCAAGCGTGGAGTCTGCCTTCAATCCGCCACCCAAACACACACACACACACACACACAGACAGACACACGCACACACGCAGTCTTCCCTGCGTGTCCTGTGGACATGTCAGGGCCTGCTGGCTATGAATGGGCAATCACCATGGTAACCAGTGTCATGTCACACGTAGCAGGTCACCTGGAAGTCTACCATTTTTTTGTCATTCTCTTGGAGTAAGAAGAAGTGAAAAGGAGGAGAGGATGAAGGCTGACTGCTCTTTGCTCTCTGTCAGATGGATCTGAACTTGGAGCTTTTCAATATGAATGCATATTCGTGTGTCAGAATCAATGTGAGATTTCACATTTGCCTGAGAGAGTGAAAGTGATATTTTTATGTTAATGTAATTTCATTAAAATATTTTGATTGCATTTAATTTCTCGCCTTTAAACTCAATTTGCATTTGAATTTATGGTAATATGCTCCCTCATTCTTCTCAATCCCACAATCCTACCTCTGCAATCTGTCACCTCTCGCCTCTTGTCTCCTCTGTACAGACTCCTCTCCGTCCACACCGGTCCCCACAGACCCTACTGCATGCCCCCCTCCTCCCACCACCCTGCCCTGGCCCATGGGAGTGGTCGGTGGTAACGGCGGGAGAGAAGCAGGAAAGTACTGCTGCCTATGCGGAGCCTGGTTCAACAACCCGCTGATGGCCCAGCAGCACTACGAGGGCAAGAAGCACCGCAGGAACGCGGCCAGGGCACGTCTCTTGGAGCAGCTAGCGGGCAGTCTGGATGCCACGGAGAGCACAGGTCAGCGTCTTGGCTGTAAACATGACACAAGTGGAGTGGCAGGGGGAATGTTAGGGCTTTGAACGAGGAAAGGGGATAAGGGGGGATCATATTGGAGATCAGTGGCATTGAGAGATATCTGAAGTGTTCACATGCAGGGTCCAAAATTAACTCTTTCACTCATGGGCCAAGTTGGCAGGTAGATGAAAAAATCCACCGACCAAGAACATTTTTTGTATTGCCCCCTAGGGACAAAAAGTTGTTTTTTTTTTTTTTTTTTTTTTTTGCCTTTTATTGCTCTAGCTTATTTTATTTCTCGTTTGAGCACTGTTCATTTAATGTGTTTATGTATGTGTTTGTTTATATGCGTATCACTGGTTGCCCAGCGGTCAAATGTTTTGTTTGACACACTACGTCGCAGTTCCACATAAGACACTCATTTTGTTTCCACAGCAAGCGTGGCGGTCCGCCTCCGGAACGTGTCTATTCTCGACGGAGTACGCTGCAGACTCGCTTTCGAGCTAGACAGAATATAACAACCCGAACAGGAAGTCAGACAAGGAAAGGCACAGAGCGTTCGGTCAATTTCAAAATAAAACACAGTACATGGACTCACGATCGCATTTCCCATCACTTTATTAGCAAAACATTTAAACAGGCACCAACGAACAACAAATCATCCTCAGAAAAATAAAGCAGCATGTTGTGTGCTGTATGTTGTTGGGAGTCAGAGAATATATCTTCAGCTTTTAGACAGTGTATGGACAAATCTGGATTATTCTGAATGAATAATCCAGACACTGTGAGAGACGCTGAGAAAGTTAAATCAGCCGTTTGATAGTGAGCATACACCCTGTAATGTTAACACTTCAGAACCTTTTTCTATGTGCAGGTTGATCAGGCTGTCCATGTTACCTACTCACACTAATTACTGTTTTCTCTGAGACTCCGCACAGTTATTTATTGGCAGTAAATTCCTTTAACATGATGACTATACATTTTTCATCCAATCTACAAATCACACAGTTTCTGAACCGCGTGCTTCAGTCGGTTGTACCAAACCAGTGGTGGGTGGTTGCTGACTGTAGTGTGCGTGCGTGTGTTTGCATCAGTGTATGTTGGTGTGTGTTAGTATGCTACCGCAAAACTCCTACGTGAAGAGAGCAGAGAAGCAGGAAAAAAATCTGCACTTACACAAAATGCACTGGAAACTCATAGTTCTCTTATACAAGACTGTTAAGATACAAAACATTGACTCGTATTTGGCGCTCAGTGGTTGTTGATTTGGGACCCTGTTCTTATGCCTTTGGTGGTGTACACTTAAAAGAAATTCCACTGGCTTAAGTCAGAATATATATTCAAAGGTATAACTTGCAGCATCAACCTCTTAGTGTATAAGTTTATTATACATTAGGATCAAAAATGGTTAGAAATCACCGATATGTCTCTCATTTGTCCTTGAACCATTCTTCATTCCATTAAATTGGTCGAGAGTTTCTCCCCTCACCAACCCGCTTTACTGTTAATATATACAATAAACTATGAATGCCCAACAGATGGTTGGAATATGTCCTTATGATTAAATCAAGAAGCAGAATTATAAAGTTTTATAGTTCAGTTGGAGGGCCATCATAATATCTACTACTGAGGCTCTCATTGGCTATAGTAGCATAGAGCCAGTGAATGAAAGGTCCTACTAGGTCAAACAAAGTGTCAGTCGAAAGGTCAGAGTACATGAGTTAGTACAGAGTTGAAAATTGGGAACAATTTAAAAGCAATCTGTAGATCTTTATGGATGTTACGTATTTGGATTAAATCTTTTACTGGATTTGGCTCAGGGGAATCCTTGTCGATGCAGCAGGACTGTTTCGGTTGGATCAATAATATGACTGCAAGAGTTCAGTAGACCTTCAGAAGGTAAGAAAAATGAATCAGAAAGACGTTTTTATGATTCGTTTTTCGGTGGTCTGACGGATGCATAGATTGTGTCTGTGTGTTGGTTGGCTCTTGAAATGTTGTGATGTATGTTGTGAGTGATAATTATACAAAGCAGTTGTGTAGATAACGGTGACAATGAGATACAAGGTGACAACGAGACCATCCACTTCTCGTTAGGGGAGGTGATATGTCAAAAAAAGATGGTTACCGTCTGTATTAATGGAGGTTACATTTTTGGATAAATTATAACAATCATGTCACAAAGTTACATTTTTGATCAACTGTATCCACCTCTGACAATAACTCTTAATTGTGCTACTGCCCGTGTTGCCCAGGCCGCTCTTGAAAAAGAGATCTTTGAAAGTAAAATATATTTATGTCATACCAACCCATTTGAGAACTCTTTTAGGGATGTTATCTGAGTGAATGAGCTCAAAGATTTACATTCGAGCCGATTAAATTCAGACATTATCTTAACCCATCATGAAAAAAAAAAATCTGACAATCTCTGATCTAACAAGTACGATTTGGACACATCTCATTAATCTTTTGCCTGCCAGAGTAACACCTCTTCATGGGGTTGTCTGAGGTCACGGGCACCTCAGTGGTTGAATATTTTCTGTTACAGCGCAGCTTTCAGACTTCTTACTAAGCATTGCAATGTTCAAGTATGAAAAAAGACAAAGTAATTGCACCTGCTTGAAGCATGTTTAACTTTAAAAGTAACTAAACCCCCAGCTGAAAAAGTATATGGATATTAAGTTGTTTTAGTGATCAATACGGGCCGATCTTGATATTTGAGTACAATGAAATTCTACATATTCTACATGGTGACTGCGCTCTACAGGTTGAAATCCATTTTCTATTGGTTGATCTGGTGTTTGGGGATGTTTGTGGTGCCAGCTTTCATCACTAAACCCTATAAACTGTCAGCTGACTCAGCAAACTGTTGGGAGTCAAGTGGATTGAGTGAATTGCGGGGGTTGATTAGAACTGAAAATCTAAGTGGCTTGCTGTGAAATATGACGATTGTGAAGTCCAACATTGGGCCATATGTTTATAAATGTAAACGCCATCACATTCATATCCTCCAGCTGGCATGAGAGATGGTGTCTAATCCCCCCCTCAAGCCCTAGCCATGTTGATACATTGATGTTCGAAAAGGTAGATGCACTTTAATAGAAACTCTGGGGTTTACCCTTTAATATACACATCTATACTCCTGCCAACAGCTGAAGCATGAGTCCCACACAGAGTGACACTTAGGGGTCACTCAGGTGTTTAAGTAAACTATTACACTGGCACTGTTTCTTGCACTAGCTAATTAATCAGTTTAATTGAAATCTAATTACAGTTTCCATATTAAGTCCTGGGTTTGAATGACTATTTGTGTCTCCCTCTCTCCCTATATTTCTCTCATCTCCCACACAAATACATTCGTACACAGATTTAGCAGTGAGAGGAGACACATCTCTGCCAGAAGGGTATTCTAATGAAATTATTTATAGTTTTTGGAACAGAAATTGCGTTTCCTTCTCTGGTTCCTACGAGTGATGCCGTCCAACAACATCCCACTGCTGCACACAGATCAACACGTACAAACACAGCGTCACAAGACACCTCTGCTGCACACAAGTTTGACGTACTCGTATCTCACACATGGCAGCGAGCAGACATCGCCGCACACACATTCAAATCCTCTGTGAGCCAAAGCTGGGCTGTTCGCTTTGTGCTCCAGGTGCCGTGACACAAACCATCATCTCAAGAAGCCAATCATATTAAAATCATGAGTCATGTTGCCGCCTACACTGGCTGAGAGCCTTTAAGAGGTGTCATGTTGGATATCGTCCTCTTTGCACAGACTGTGACCCAGATCCCACAACCTCAGCTGTTTTTCAGGGAGATTTGACTTCAAATCTCAGCATTTAAACACAGATCTCATTTTAATTTTACAAGAAAACGTACATAAAAGTCTACTTTTCCTAGTGCAGAACCTATTACTAATGTTATTTTTTTAAAGGCAACGAACTGGTCTACAATTCCAAAGTGTGTTCATAGCTGACTGGATCTCTTATTGTGCCATCAATCATGTGTTTGTTCCAGTATCTTTAGTAGGAAGCACTTTGCTTCTGGAAAGTGCCTTTCCATTGTCAGTACTTGTTTGTTCTACATTTTACCTTTGGTGCAAGATTCTCACTTCTGATTGGCTTTTATCACCACTTCAGGTGTGAAGTCACAGGTGTGCGGGGTAAAATCTCAGAGGGAGGGTCAGGGCAAGGCTGCAGCTGAGCTCAGAGAAGGGAGGAGGGAGAGGAGGAGAGAGAAATGAGGAACTTGGTCTAAGCCAAGTGCAGATTCATCTGTCCTTTTGTCCTCTGTTCCCCTTTGTTGGACCGTTTTCTCTTTACATTCTTTATCTTCTTTATCCCCTTCCTGCAGCTGTACTCCATCTTACATGCTTGTTTATTGCTACTGTGGTTGTATTGTGTGTAAAAGTGTGCATGTGCACAACTAGGGGCTCCGATGTCTCATCTGTCATCCTCATTAGCCCCCCTTTGAGGCACAGGTGAATTATTTACACACCAATATTCCCTGTGTCCCCAAACCAAGGCTCCACAGTCAGCCCCGCTCTATTGTCTGCTTGTGTCCCATTGATGATGCTGACCTTTAGTTGCACTTCTATATTCTGTCTCACCCTATCTCCTGCCCCCATATTCACACACTCACGACCGAAACGCATCACAAAATCCCCATGACATTTATAGCGACACCGTTTCTTCCTCTTAAAATTTTTTATGGTACAATAGTGCAAACGGGGCACAGGGGAAAATGACGTTATTTTAAGCAGTTAGGTGCCAGACAAAATCCTCGGAGATGGATTACAGAGGTGGGCGACCGAAATTCTAGTGGGGGTGGTTACTAAGGCGAGATGGAGCCCGCCTGACTCAGCTGTGTCTTTACATAAATCACGACAGGGGTAGAAACCCCTCAAGACAGAGCCGGCGCGCTGTCTCCTCTCTCTGGAGACTCAGCAGAGAATTAGAGGCAGTGAGATAAGTGTCTAGGAGTGAAGTGTGTGTGTG